CGGCTGGCGGTGGCAGCAGCAGCAGCAGCAGCGGCCAGGACCTCTCGCCTGGCGCTGCCCTCATGCGTGCTGTGGGCGCCGCCCGTGCCGCGCGCGAGCAGCCAGCTGAGGCGACAGCGGCTGGCGGGGGCAGCAGCAGCAGCAGCGGCCAGGGCCTCTCACCTGGAGCTGCCCTCATGCGTGCGGTGGCCGCCGCCCGCGTAGCACGCGAGGCTCAGGGCGCCCTGCGCGCGGGCCCCGCTGACGGCCGGGCGGGCGCGGGCCCCGCGGTCGCCCAGGACGCCATGGAGGTGGGCGAGCCTGGGGGATCAGGCACCCAGGATGCCGAAGGAGTGGGCCACGCGCTCCTCAGCATCAACGGCTTCATGATCTGCACGCGCTGCAAGGCGTACGCCAAGGAGATCAATGGCAAACGCAGGACGCTCGGCAAGACGTGCGTCGCAGCCTCAGGCAATGCGCTGTGCCTGCGCAACCTGAAGGTCGCTAACATCAGGGCAGGCTTGGACCCAAAGACGGGCAAGCGCCTGAGTGATTGAGTTGGGGAGTGCCTTCGGTGGTCTGAGCCTTTTCAGGCTCGGCACGGGGTGGTTGGTGGCTCGTGCGGCTGCCTCGCCTGACGGCGCATGCCCTTGCGGCGCGGCGTGCGCGCTGCTTTCGGAGGCCGCTGTTTGCGGGCCTCCTCGCCGCATTTTGCGGCTTCGCCACCTGGCGGCAGGATCGGTTCGTGCTGCACGGGCTGCCTTGTCATTAAAAAAAAAGTGTCTCCAATCCGCAATGTTTTATGCACGTGTGTTCCTATAGATCGGGCTTCTCCTGGGGCACGACTCCTCCCTAGGAGGTCCCAGGAGGCTCCAGGCTCCAGGGGGCTACGCGAGGCTCCAGGAGGCCTCAGGATGTCACTCGAAGCCCCAAGAGGCCCCAGGAGGCCCCAAGAGGCTCCTGGAGGCCCCAGGAAAGCCCAGGAGGTTTCTGGAGGCCCCAGGAGGCCCCAGGCTCATGCGCAGAGACGCGCTCGTACTACCGAGACTCATTCACGCTCCAATCCGTTCGAAGTTATATTCATGACCAGACCGTCACAACTCAAGCCCGCTTATCTTCGAAATCTCTTGCGCCTAGACTCACGGCGGACAGGTCCATGCGAATAGATGCACATATGGGGAGCTCCACGCCATATGGGGAGCTCCACGCAGTGAACAATTACTTGGACGCCTCCTACTCCTCATTCCTCTTCTTCTCCTCCTCCTCCTCGTACCTAGACTTACTCATACACATACTTAATCATACACAGACTTACTCATACCCAGGCCTGATCATATTAACTTACTCGCAATCATGCCTACTCATACTCATACCTACTCATCCTCAGACTTACTCATGCCGAGACGCACTCGTACCCAGACTTACTCATACTCAGACCTTCTCATTGTCTGACTTAGTCAACACACAACAGATTGTGAGGATGTCTCAGGCAGGGCGCTGGCTTCAGCACCCCTAAGGGAAGCCGCCGAAGGGTATTGCACGGTCCCGTTCGCGGCCGTTTTGTGGGGATTTCTCAAGCGGTTTGCTTGTTTTCTGTCCCAACATCCTTCGCTTGGAGAGCAGATTGTGAGGATGTCGCAGGCGGGGCGCTAGTTCAGCACCCCTAAAGGGAGCCGCCAAGGCGTATTGCAAGGTCCCGTGCGCGGTCGTTTTGAGGGGATGTCTCAAGCGGTTTGCTTTTTTCTGTCTCAGCATTCTTCGCTTGGAGAGCAGATTGTGAGGATGTCTCAGGCGGGGCGCTGGTTTCAGCACCCCTAAGGGGAGCCGCCGAGGCGTATTGCACGGTCCCGTTCGCGGCCGTTTTGTGGGGATTTCTCGAGCGGTTTGCCTGTTTTCTGTCTCAACATCCTTCGCTTGGACAGCATATTGTGAGGATGTCTCAGGCGGGGCGCTGGTTTCAGCACCCCTAAGGGGAGCCGCCGAGGGGTATTGCACGGTCCCGTTCGCGGCCGTTTTGTGGGATGTCTCAAGCGGTTTGCCTGTTTATTGTCTCAACATTCTTCGCTTGGAAAGCATACTGTAAGGATGTCTCATGCGTGGCGCTGGTTTCAGCACCCCTAATGGGAGCCGCCGAGGCGTATTGCAAGGTCCCGTTCGCGGCCGGGATGTCTCAAGCGGTTTGCCCGTTTTCTGTCTCAACATCCTTCGCTTAGAGAGCAGATTGTGAGGATGTGTCAGGCGGGGCGCTGGTTTCAGCACCCTAAGGGGAGCCGCCGAAAGGTACTGCACGTTCCCGTTCGCGGCCGTTTTGTGGAGATGTTTTCAGCGATTTGCCTGTTTTCTGTCTCAGCATTCTTCGCTTGGAGAGCAGATTGTGAGGATGTCGCAGACGGGGCGCTGGTTTCAGCACCCTTAAAGGGAGCCGCCGAGGGGTATTGCACGGTCCCGCTCGCGGCCATTCTGTGGGGATGTCTTAAGCGGTTTGCTTGTTTTCTGTCTCAACATCCTTCGCTTGGAGAGCAGATTGTGAGGATGTCTCAGGCGGGGCGCTGGTTTCAGCTACCTAAGGGAACCGCCAAGGGTGCTTTCATGGCTCTGTTTGTCGCCGTTCAGTGGGGATGTCTCTAGCGGTTTGCCTGTTTTCTGCTTTTGCGTTGTGTCCCGAGTGGCTCTCCCCGTTGCGTACGGTGGTCAAGGAAGAGTGACCATGTGTTGCTGGCGCAGAGCTTGTGTCACCGTGGGATGTTGCTTTCTCTCTCCGTGGTGCTTTCCAATCTTGTCGTCGTCAGCGGGGGAGAGAACTTGAGAAGGTTCATTCTCCCGCGTGCGTTTATGGCTGGGGAGGGAACTTGACAAGGTTCTCTAGCTGCGGGCGAGGGACATTAAAAAGGTTCACTTTCCCGCTTGTGGCTCATACGGCTCCTATGGCTAGACGCTCATTTCAGTATCCCAAATACAAGATTGCCTTTTCAAAAAGGATGCACATAAGGGGAGCTCCACGCAGTGAGTCATTGATTTTTCGCCCAAGATTCGCCTGCAGGGGGACAGGCCCGCCCTCAGAGTTGCTCGCCGCTTCGGCCCGCCTTTCCGCTCCGCTGCCGGCTGCTCCCCCCGGTGGTGCCTGCTGCGCCTTCATTGCGAGCCGCCGCAGCGGCGCCGCGCCCGCCGCGGCTCGGGCCGAAGGGGAAGTCGCGGGGGGAAAGCCACACAGACGCAATTCATCGTCGATCCCCAGGAAACTGCAGGAAAATGGGAAGTGGGGGGGAAGGCAAAAACCACAAGAAATATGGGGAAATATGAAGAATTTGGTTATTCCCCATATCCAATGGATGGGGTTATTGTTATTCTCCGACCGCGCCGGACCACCCCTCCCTTCCCCTCCCTCTCCGCGCCAGACAATGGTGATGATTGTCATGATGATGACCATGGTATGGTGAGAGTATGATGTGAGAATGATGGTGATGGTGAATGATGGATAAGTATGATGAGTATGATGAGTATGATGATGATGGTGATGATGAGGATGATGATGATGATTCTGATGATAATGATGATGCTGCTGCTGCTGCTGATGCTGATGCTGATGATGATGATGATGATGATGATGATGATGATGATGATGATGATGATGATGATGATGATGATGATGATGACGATGAGCAGATGATGAGGATGTCTCGAGCGACTTGCTGGTTTTAGCACTCCTAAGGGGGGCCGCCAGGGGTATTGCACGGCCTCCGTTCGCGCCCAAATGGTGGGGATGTCTCAGGCGGTTTACCTGTTTCGGTCCTCAACATCCTCCGCTTTCGGAGCAGTTTCTGAGGATGTCTCAGGCGGCTTGCACTCCTGAGGGGGGGCCGCCAGGGGTATTGCACGGCATCCGTTCGCGCCCAAATGGTGGGGATGTCTCAGGCGGTTTTGCCTGTTTTGGTCCTCAACATCCTCCGCTTTCGGAGCAGATTCTGAGGACGTTTCAGGCGAGGCGCTGGTTTTCGCACCCCAGGGGGGCCAGATTTCGAGGATGTCTCAAGCGGTTTGCGTGTTTTGGTTGTCAGACTCGTCTGCTGTCGAAGCAGACTCTGAGGATGTCTATGGCGAGGCGCCGATTTCCGCACTCCCAGAGGGCCCAGCTTGCGAGGGTGTCCTGGACTCACTTATGCTCAAACTCACTCGGGCTCAGGCTCATTCATACTCAGATTCGCACTCATCATACTCATACTCAGACTCACTCACACCCAGACTTACGCACACGCAGACTCACTCACACTTAGACCCACCCACCCTCAGACTCATTCGTAGTCAGACTCACTCGTACTCAGACCCGCTCAGGGCCAGTTTCGTACCCATCATACTTATACTCAGACGCACTCACATTCAGATTTACTCACGCTCAGACTCACTCACACTCAGACCCACCCACCCTCATATTCACTCGTCGTCAAACTCACTCGTACTCAGACCCATTCAGACTTAGACTCGTACTCACTATACTCATACTCTGACTCACTGGCTTTCGCACCCCAGGGGGGGCAGATTGCGAGAATGTTCCAGACTCAGTTGTGCTCAGACTCGTACTCATCATACTCATACTCAGACTCACCCACACCCAGTCCATGCAAATCGATACACATATGGGGAGCTTTACGCAGTGAATAACTTGTGTGTATTTATTTGTGTGTCCCAGGGCCCCTTTAAAAAGGGGGGGTAGGGAAAGGGGGGGCTATGACATCTGCTGCCTGCAGCTGGTTTCGGCCCCGCCGTCAGGCCCATTCCTCCATACATGCAGGTGGCCACACGCGAGCCCTACCCCGACCCCCCACGATTTCTGAGGGGGACTCAGAAATCGTGCGGGGTCGGGGTCGGGCTCGCGTGTGGCCCCCTAACAGGGGCGCCACTCGGCGCAGGGAGGCGCTGGGAACATCCGCCGCGTGAGCTGCTTCTCTACCCTTATAGCCTCTGCTGCCCCCCCCCCTTCCGCCCCCCCCCGAGCGGAGCGCGCGCCGCCCGCCCCGGCCGCCGAGGCATCCGCGCCATCGCCGAGAGGGTGCCCAGCCAGCGCCCCGGGGGCGCGCTGCGCCGGCCGCCGGGCCGGCCCGCGCGAGGCGCGCCCTCCGCCCGCTCGCGCCCCACCGCGGCGGGGTGGAAGGTTCGGGGCTGGACCCGAGCGGTGTTTTCGGTGATCTCGTGGGCAGCTTTCGTGTCGGCGTCGTTCCGCGGTAAGAGGGCGGCTTCGGGACAAGGAAGCGAAGGAACACGAGAGCAGAACGAGAACGAAAAACACCGTCTAGGTTCAGCCCTGGTCGAAGGTTAGGGGCCCTGGAGTTCGGATGCAACTCCTGGGAGGTCAAAATTCTGCTTTTGCCCTGGTCCGAAGTCCGGCTTAAGCCAGCTTGATCCCGCTGAATCCGGTTTGATCCCGCCCAATCCCGCTTAGTCTGGCTCGAGCCCGCTTGATCCGAGGCCCACTCCTGCATTAATCCTCCTTACAGTAATCCTTCCGACGAAGACCTCCCAGTAGTTGCCTCCTAACTGGAAGGGTGCTCGCGGTTCGGTTGGTGCGGCCGCGTCGCGGTCGATGGCGTCGGGTCGCTTCGCTTCGGTCGGTCGTTGGTCGTGTCGCTGCCGCGTCGCTGCTCAGAGGAGAATAAACGCCCGCTTCTCCGCTTTTTGGGCCTCCTGGGCGGCCCTCGTCGCCACCGCTGGATCCGCCTCTAAATCCTGTTCAGAACGCACCCCGGGAGAGGTCCGGGGACTAGTGGTATCGGTACCTGGAGGTTGTGTTCGGCGACGAGCGAGGGGGGGAAGCGAGAAGGAGAAGGGCTTGAGGCCCTCGCGCCTTCTGAGAGGTTCTCTGCGTCTTCGGGGAAGGCTCAGAAAACTTCTCAGAAGGCTGGGGGACTTCCGAGCCTTCTGAGAAGGCTCGCCCCTTCTCACTTCCGCCGCCGCGGGGGAGGGGGAGGAGGAGGAGGAGGAGGAGGAGGAGGAGGAGAGGATGGAGGAAAGGAGGAGGAGGAGGAGGAGGAGGAGGAGGAGGGAGGAGGAGAGGCGAGGAGGGGAGGAGGAGGAGGAGAGGAGGAGCAGGAGGAGGAGGAGGAGGAGGAGGAGGAGAGGAGGGAGAGCTGGAAGGAGGGAGGAGGGAGGGAGGGAGGGGCGGAGGAGGAGGAGGAGGAGGAGGAGGCCCTCGCTCGCCGCCGATGTGTCATTGCCGCATCGCCGCGCCCTTCTGAGCTGCTTGTCGCCCTGGGGCTTGCGGTTTCGGCTTCCGCTGTCGGTGCGGCCGACCCCTTCGGGATCTGCAGGCGCCGTGTGCACGGCCTCGGGCCCGGAGTCAGAGGGCGAATGCCGATCCCGCTAGTCACTCTCCTCTTCCTCCTCCTCCTCCTCCTCCTCCTCCCTCCTCCTCCCTCCTCCCTCCCTCCCTCCTCCTCCCTCCTCCCTCCCTCCCTCCCTCCCCCTCCTCCCTCCTCCCTCCCTCCCTCTCCCTCCTCCCTCCTCCCTCCTCCCTCTCCCTCCTCCCTCCTCCCTCCTCCCTCCTCCCTCCTCCCTCCTCCCTCCTCCCTCCTCCCTCCCTCCTCCCCCTCCCTCCTCCCTCCTCCCTCCCTCCTCCCTCCTCCCTCCTCCTCCTCCTCCTGCTGCTCCTCCCCCTCCTCCTCGCCACCACGGCGAAAGTTCTTATCATCAAGAGGAATCCAGGGAATATGGTGCGAGTTCGCCGGGGGTTGGAGTTCATTCGAATCCGACTTCGTGCGCAGGAGGGATGGGGTCCCAGGTCGGAGAGGGAGGAGATACCGATACTAGAGGAACAAACAACACCATGCCGTACATTTTCGGAGGTCCGCGCTGATTCCTTGTATCGCTGCTGTGCCCCTGTGGCGCGATCCAGCGCCGATCCAACAAATCCGCGCCGACTTCACGGAAATGATGTTTATACCGTGTTCTGTTTGTCTAGATCCCGCTAGTTGTCCTGTTTTTGTCACCGCGCATGCATTTGCTTCGAAATCTTGGTCAGAGCACACCCAAGAAGAGGTCCAGGGGGCAGCGAGGTCGGTGCCTTATCTTTCCCTTGCTGAGGACAGGAGAGGGCTTCCATGTTAGCGACGCCAAAGAAGGAGGACGTCTGTGCCGACATTGGCGCGTGAGCTGCCCGCGTAAGGTCGTCGCGCGTGAGCGCCCTCGTCTCCATTGTGGCGCGCCGCGCCGGCGGCCCGCGAAAGTCACCGAGTAAGGTCGCTGTGTTCGGGATCCCGCAAAGGGTGTGTATGCTCCAGAGAGTGTGTGTGTGTGAGAGAGAGAGAGAGAGAGAGTTCGATCGGTTTTCGTACCAAACAGCCCAAAACAGATGCCCCACAGCCGCAGGCAGCTCCCGACAGTTGCTGATAGGTGGGGCATGCGGGGGGCATCTGTCTGCGGCAGTTCGGTGCACCAGCGGATCGAACTCATGCCCCCCCTCAGGGTCACCCCCCCTTTGGTGGATCCTGATATGTTTAAGTCGGGCATGTCCCTCTACAGGAGGAATATTCAAAAATGGTAAACAAGTAGTCTGGGGACGATTTTCGACTACTTTGACTATTTTTGTGCCTTTTTTTGTTTTTTGTTTTTTTTATTTTTCGTCCAAGATCCGCCTGAAGGAGGACATGCCCGACCTAACAACATGTCGTCCCGCGTACAGTCAACCCGCATGGTAAGGACGAGCGGCGCTCCCAAAGGCTCCCTTGCATCCGTGCCTCCGCGGCCCATCCTTGGTCAATTTCGTTGGCCGCGCCCCGCTCGAAAAGCCTCGACAGGACCTTCCAGGGCCGCTGCATCCCCATCACGCGTCCTCATGATACGGGTCGACTGTAAGACCCGTGTCTGATCGTCGCTCCTGCGGAGTCTGCACTGCTCGAGGCCCTCCCGCTCTGCTTCTTTCACCACCCGCCAAGCCACCCCCAACCCAACCCGAAGGCCTCAAAGCGCCCTCCATTTCCAGTGGGGGGGGAACGTTGAGAAACACATATGAAAGCCGTGTCCCCCCCCCCCCAACCCGAACTTCGGGTTTTCGGGTTGGGTTGGGGTGGTCTGGTATCGGCGTCACCCCAACATACTTAATACTATATGTGCGTCGCCCCCCCCAGGGGAGACGCGCGCGACGAGAAATCTTATTGTACATGTGTCGTGGCGGGCGCTTTCTGGCCACGCCGCTCGGGGAACGATATACTGTAAGATGGGTATACTGTATGTTCGGGTCGGACGCGCGCCTCCCAGGAGAACATCTAGCACTGGTACGTCTCTGTGCGCCCCATGGTAGGTAGTCGTTCTTGGCCCCGCGCCCCGCCCGGCCCCCGCGGGGGTGCTCCCCGCGGTGCGGTGCGCTCGGTGCTCCTCGGCCGCGGCCGCGGGCGCCTGCGCTCTCGGCCGGGCTCGGGCTCGGTCGGCCCGGGCTCGCGGCGGGGCAGCGCCGCTTCGGGAGCATTGATGTCAGGAGCGAGAGGAGGACGTACGCGTACATGAGTCCGCGCTGGTTTCGAGAGTACGCTTAAGTCGGGCCTGTCCCTCTTACATGGGGAATATTCGAAGATAGTAAAACATGGTCTGGGGACTACTTTTTGATTATTTTCGAGCATCATTGGTTTTTTTGAGTATTTGTTATTTTTTGTCGCAAATCCCCCTGTAGGGGGACATGCCCGACTTAAACGTACACGCACATGAATCCACGCTGGTTTCGAGAGTACGCATTGCGCAAAGGTTCGTACAACGCGGCTGGTCTCGCGGATCGAGGGGCCGTGTTCATGTACATAGCTGGGCGCGTACGTCCTTTTGTGGGCTCCCTAATGGAGACGGGGGCCAATGCAGACGGGGGTCAGCCAGAGCGCCAGATCTTGCAGGATCCTGCAGGGCCAGGGTCGCATTGACCCAGGTTTGGGTGCAGGATCCTGCAGGATCTTGCAGGATCCTTCGCATTGACCCGGGTTTGGGTGCAGGACCTCGCAGGAGCTTGCAGGATTCTGAAGGCCTGACTGACCTGGGTCTGGGTTGACCCGGGTCAGAAGACCCCCGACCGCTCAGGTCCCCTCTCTAGGGGTAGGAAAGGTCTAGGCCTCCCAGATGTGGTCGGAGTAGGTGGGGTCGGAGGTTCGCGCCGCGTCGCCGATGCATCGCCGGTGCGGCTCGATGTGGAGCCCGATTTGCTGCGCGTCGACGTCGCCGATGCATCACTGGCGTCGCCGATGCATCGCCAATACATCGACGATGTATCGCCGATGCATCGACAATGCGGCGCGAACCTCCGACCCCATCTGCTCGGACCCCATCCAGGAGGCCTCTAAATGGGGTGTGGTGTTAAGGGGTGTGGTGCCCATGCTGGACCTGGCGAAGTGATTTATCGTAGATGGCATCGCCACTTCCACGGTTGGCACCACAGCCCTTTCTGCCGCACCCCGTTCCGACCTCCGGGCTCTCGGGGCTCAAGAGACGGGGGCCAGCGCAGACGGGGGTCGGCCAGAGCGCCAGATCTTGCGGGATTCTGCAGGGCCAGGGGCGCCTTGGCCCGGGCTGGGGCGCAGGATCCTGCAGGAGCCTGCGGGAGCAAGGCCCGACTGACCCTGGTCTGGACCGACCTGGGCCAGCAGACCCCCGATCCTCCGCGGCCGCTGCCGGCAGGCGCGGTCTCCGAGGGCCTCGGTGTCTCCTCGCGGTCCGTTGCTCGCAGCCCACTGGACCACCCCGACCTCACCCGAAGGCCTCGATTTGCCCTCCACTTCCAGCGGGGGGTGGTCGGGCAGCACTGAAGAGACACATGTGGAACCCGTCCGTCATTACCCCCCCCAACCCGAAAGTCGGGTCTTCGGGTTGGGTTGGTGGTCGGTTTTTGATTCGTTGTTCTGCCGATCGGTGCGGGCCCTCGCCCCCCCCCTTCCCCCCCCCGTGGAGCAGATCTTGGCTGTTATTGGCGCCTGTTTCGAGCAGGCGGAGCCTCCCCCCATGATGGACGCACTGCTGCAGACAGTGGCACTGAGCAGAGGTCCAGAGCCAGCCCTCCCCGCCCCCCCCTCCCTTCCTCCCAGTGTCGAAACGCCGAATTCAAAAAACGCTCACATTACCCAGGCGGGGATTTATCCATATCC